TTTGGGGGGGGGGGGGGTCCTCAGGCGATTGGTCTGAGCGTCCCGGGCTTTGGCTTGACCGTATCCTGCCGAGTTGCAACATGCGCCGCGCACTGATCCAGCTTCTTTCCCACCTCCGCCTGCAGAGCTGGAGCAGAGATCTTGGGCTCTTTGTTGAACTTTTAGTTTCCTTTAGGACTGGCTTGACTCTCGCAGGGCCTTGTGCAGTAACACGAGCTGCACACTTATTGGGCGGATTAAGGCTAAAGGTTTAGACTCTTCGCAGCCTACTTCAAGTAACAACCAGCCGAAATTTTGCGGAGGGCACTCAAAAGATTCGGAGCCTCGTTTAGGACTATCTGGCTCCTCCTTTCCTGGCTTCATCTTGCCCCTCCTTGGAACCAAACTTCTCCCCTCAACCGTAAATGTCTCATCCTAAGCCTGGAAGATCATCTCAGAACGAAGGCTTTCCCAACAATAGAGATACTTGTTTTGAGGATACACTATCAGATGTTATATCAATACCAGTCGGCCATTGTTCTCCTGCGATATTTCAACCCATGAGCTTGATCAGGGGCTCTGTATATCAGGAAGGCAAAGCGGGGAACTTCCAGTAGAGTCGCGGCGATTCGCCCTCGTGTGATCCACACTTTGGGTACTCCACTTCCTACAGCATCAAACGTGCTAAATCCATTCCTACGAATCTAAAGGCTACCCGGCTACCAATGCCATGATTAGCAGTGTCATCTGTGTTGGTATTGTGATTCTTCTCATAGTAGTATTGGTACTCGCATCTGCAAGTACTGCGAGGCATCGAAGCCCTCCTCGAAGGTTCAGGGAGTGTCGGGTTCCTTTATTCGGCTACCTAGGGAGTCGCATGGGAAAAGCACAGCTTCGATTGGAAGTGCCATGCTAACTTCTCGGAGCTCGGAGCGCCCAAACCTGGTGGTTGGGTTGGCTCGTTGGCATGCGCCACTTGCAAGCCAGGGCTCCTTTAGGTTGTTATCGTTTTTGAAAAAGGGGGCCTCAGCATCGCACGAGGGATTAGTAAGTCAAGACTTGGCTTTTTGCGATGCCGCGCTGTCGTCGAAGTCCAACGTTCCTTCATCGTGCAGCCCTGCTCTGGCTCGACCGGTTCTGGTGCTTCTCTTTCGGCACCAGAACTGCTGTCGGTTGACAGATGTACCGGGAACCTCCTTGTGCGGTGACTTTCATCACTGCGGTGGGAAATTCCTCATGGAGCCTCCCTGTATCCCTGGGAAGCTGCATTTTCAGGAGGGGGCGGGGTCGGCCGCAGAGAAGCTCTCAAGTCGACCTGGTCCTGTTGTACCGGCTGCGCTGCCTCTGCAGGCACCGCGGCATATCCGCGGACATCGGGCGATTTTGGGCCTTGTGCCTGCGCTCCGATGCACATGAGCTCTTTAAAGCTGTCGAAGTTCGTTGAAGCCGTCAGCGCCTCCAGAAAATCCCAGAATTCGGCGACACGGATACCTGAGCTGGGAGGGATGTAGGAAGGCTCGCATCCGGGAAGGTAGTCATCGGGAGCTCGCAGCGCTGCAAAGTCTCGAAGGTCCGCGAGATGCTCGCGGAAGTCTTCCAGGCTGAAACCCTCCTCCTGTACCACTGCTCTCAGCTGCCGCTCAAAGAGCTCGTTGTACTTTTCGTGCAGCTCTGTCCAAATCAGAGGGCAGGAGCCGTCGGCACAGGGCTCCGAAAAGGCTTGGGCGTGTTGGCTGATGAAATCGCGGACCTCTGTGGCAAAGGCCGGCTCGCAAAGGCCGCGAAGGAAGGGCGCAAGCTGCCAGTCCACCCGGCAAGCTGCCGCCTCGTTCATGCGGACGGACAGGCATCCGTGACGCTATGATGAGTTGATGCTGAGACTGGAGACTTGAGCCACAAAGACATGGCTCAAAGGCTACTAGGCCCTAGGCCCGAACCCGAAACTTGAAGACAAAGCCCCAGCTTTCGGGCCTTTTCGGCCCAAGTCAAGGACTGGTCCTTGAGGGGCTTGTTCCAACCTCAGCGCCGAGTTCTGTCCGGGGCGTACACCCATGAACCTGCGCTACTCCTCACGCTCTAAGTGAGCCTTTGGAAAGCAAGTTCATTTTATCAGAAAAAACAGATTCTCCTGAAGCCCGAAGGCCGCGAATGCCATCCGCTCTACTCTGGGTGGGAGCTGGAGCTGCGTGGACTCTACGGTTGGTTCCTTCGTTGAAGCCGCTGAAGCAACTGGCAAGGTTGAACACAGTTTTAGGGTCCAGCGCCCTCGGCAATGTATTAGAAGAGGGGCTGCGGTGCACATTGACTGTGAAGCCTGCAACCTCAAAGCCTGCCCCCGACGGAAACTTCAGGGACTGAAGATCCTCCGACATCTAGAAGCTGTACCCGCAACTTTCCAGTTTCTACCTTTCGGCCCAGCCGGAGTCCAGCCCAGAAGCTCAAGTCCAGATCGTCGCGGACGTACGTCGTGGGAAAGAGAGTGTCGTCCCAGTCGAAGATGAGCAGTGTCTGCGCCTTGTCCTTGTTTGGTTTACTGTCTCTCTCGCTCGGTCTCCTGCGCCCTACAACAGAACCGGCGAAATGTGGAATCTTGCACCTCAAGCCCATCTAAAGTCATTGTGAATGGAAGCATCTTTGAGGTGATCTTCACTGCGACAATGTGCACATTCGTCTTGTGACGCGGATATGTTACGGTTAAGATTACCGCCATCATCTGTGTTCATTGACGTCGTGACTAAAGTTTGAATGAAGCTGAAAGCAAAAGTCGCTCAATCTTAAGTGAAGCAGCACTCCATTCAACACCAAACACCCGCATGCATGCAATGAGCACGCGTGGTGACAGGGCTTTCGGTAACTACGAATATAACCCGGTAAAGTACTTGGACACCCCTAGAGGCACGCGCATCTAGTCTCCACTACCGTTTGGGCCGTGCAGCCCCAAACCAAAATCTGCACCCTAACCTCCGCAAAACTTATGAAAATCTGCCGCCTGCTAACTCTGGAAATGCTGTATTTCCTAAAAGAGCGTTTCAGATGCGTTTGAGATCCGTTTGGGGTTGTCTGGGAGGTTGCGTTCGGTCCGTTTTGGATGCGTTTGGGATCCGTTTGGGTTGAGCTGGGATGCGTTTAAAGTGCGTTTAAAATGCGTTTGGAAGTGCGTTTCGGGGTCCGTTTTGCGTGTTTGGAGTCTCGTGGTTCATATTGTGGGTTCTGTGACACGGACTTGGTTGACTAAGCCTCCGAAAACCTGACCCCCCAAACCCTGCCGTAATCCGGCAAAACCTGGATCCTATACCGAAGCTTCAAACCAAGGAAGTCGCCCCAATGACGTCTCTAACCAGCTTTAATTAGCTTTCAAAAAGCAAACGAAAACGTACAACGACAACGAGGCGCCGCGAAGAAGGCCTGCGAGTTTCGCCTGCCCAGCGGTGCTGTGGCCAGCGTGCCTCCGCGGGGATTTTCTGCCGTTTTTGCCAGGGTTTGGGTTTAGTGGGCTCGGTCTTGGGATTCTCCAGGGCTTTCCTGGCTCCTTGGGAAGACAGGCCGTTCACCGCGACCCGGCATCGGTCCTGTAACCTTCACCCAAATTGTGAGGATCTTGAGATTCCGGCACAACAGTTACACCGGCCCGGGGCTGCTCAGAGAAGGCAGCACACAGTTGCAAAATTCTCGTTGGTCCGAAAGTGCATGCTCCAAGCGGCTGTTGCTGCCCGCGTACAGCACGAGCTCCTTCGACTTTCCGTACCTCATCTATCCCACTACACTTGTAGTGCTGCATCCGCAAATTGGCTTGAGAGCCCAATGGGACTGTAACCCATTCCAATAGCAAACCCTTGAGGACTCAATATGCACACATGCTTTCCTAAGGTCAGGGCTGAGAGCAGCTTCAAGAATCTGTGCAACAAGCGGCTGGTAGTGGGAGTGCGCCTTCCCAGATCCTTCCCAGAGGACTTGTGCTGTCATCCTCAGGGAGTGTGGCAGGAATGGGTGATGACCGAAGTTATTGACGATCTACTCAAAAAGATAAACACAGCAAAACACAGACTGACACTGGGAGTATTGAGATTGTCTCCGCTTCGCCTTCGGCCTGCGGCCTCCCTGCCGAGCTTTGCCAAGCGTCTTCGTGGTGTCGAAAGACAAGATGACGCCCACCTTTGCCAGGAGCCTACTCTCGCAACCCATGTGATCCGAACCGGTATTACAAGTACAGGGCCTTTCCAGCGCCGCCGTCCTGGCCAAGAGCGTTAGCAACTATGTAACTAGTTCAACTGTTTCTGTTGCAAATTTGACTCTTCTCATCTGCCATGGCTGATTTTCCGCATTCTCAGAGCTTGTGTCTCGCATAATGCTCTTGATTCTGGTCAATGCAGGGGAAACGTCTCACGTTTGTTCTGCAGCATCTGATTTGGCTAGTGATTTTGCGTGACCCACCACCAAAACGATTGCCGGATGTTATCGTTCATTGTGCGGACAGAGAAACTCTGAGAGCAAAGGGACTCGAAGAGATTCTGGGACATTAGGGCGTAGGGTTTGTGCACCAGCCTCTAGTCATAAGAAAAGGACTACAATTTCACCCAAAACCGTCACCTTCACCTGATATCATTGAGCACGACGGGCCAGTTCTTCAGCCCAGCTTTAGCCAGCGTCCAGCAACTTCAGCATGCCGCAGATTAAACGCCTGTAGTGCTGCAAAGGCTGAGGTTTCTAGATCAAGTCTGTTCCCATTCGTGCACCCTAGAAATTCGGGCGTCGCGGACCCTCGTTAAAGTACATGGCCTGGGGGGCTTGCCGTAACCCTACGAAGCGAGGCAGCGCATGCAGGAAACTTATCCATGGGCTCTGTGTCACTGTGCCACTTTGCTTCGGTCCTCCTGACCCCGCTGCCAGTCCGGGCCACGCTGCACGCGCAGATTCCTGAGACCATCTCCCGCCTTCTCCCAAAAACCAAAGCTCCGGGGCTCCCGAATACTTATTGGATCTTGTTGGGCGATCCTCTTTCGAGCCCGAACTCCCCTCGCATGTGGGGTGCAAGGTTTCGATTGGGCCCTACTAGCTGAGCCTTCCAACGTATGTACTGCTTCTCTTGCTTACCATGTGTTTTTGCAACCCAACGATGAAAATCTAATGGAGGGTCTAGATAGTGTCGCTACAGCAATTCAGGACTGATACCTTTCTCAGTAAGAGCACTACTGCTTTTGTCGATCATCATCTCCGCACTCGCATGTGACCTCAGTACCGGGTACCAGGATCACTACCTCACAGACTGGCTAGCGATGGCAGTGACAAGAAAGCTGGCTGTCATTGATGTCGCCCACTGTGCTTGCGAGTCTCTGCTACTATTTCTGTCACTTTCATTCATTCCACCAGTACGACGATTTGCTCCCGCACCGGATGGCAGTGTTGCTGCTGCCGCTATTGCTACTAGCAGTGCATATTGCTGCCAGTACTACGACGACGACGACTACTGCTACCGCTGCGACTGCAATGGTTGCTCCTGCAACCACGACTGCTGTCACCACTACCGCGTACGTACGGCCACGGCACTTCGAAATGTGTGTACCCAGGTGCTGTCGGGTGGATTGATCATTCACGGACGCTACATCCAAGGATTCTGGAATCTCTGTCTGTTGAAGGAAAGGAGCACCGCGATGTTGTCCAGCGTGACCGGTTGGGGGCCCTTGGCGTCTGCGGGCACCTGCCAGCAGGTTGCGGGGTCAAGGCTCAGAGCATGGCCTCTGGGCTTCGAGTGGTTTCGCTCTGAAGGGCTTCGGGTCTCAGGGTCTAGACTGGTTTACAGCATACATCAGCTTTTTGCGGCTCCAGGTTCTAGCGTCCCAGGGTTAGGTAGCCAAGCTGCAACAGGAAAGAAGGATGTGGCAGCCCAGGCACACATTGAGCCCAGAGGGTGTTCTGAGTTGCCCGCAACCCAGGCTTTAGCAAAATCCGATGAACATGATGGTGATGATTGCAACTTTTCGCTGCCATTTGTATTCCTGCCACGACTGCTCAAGCCGGTTAGGCCTAAACCACAAGCGATCCTGCGACAAACATCGACTGTCTGCGACGTGAATGACAGGAGAGATTCGTGGCCTGAATATTGAGCGAGCCCCGTGCATTGGGTGCAGGAAAGTTTTCTGATCGACAGCCGCTTGGTTGAAGACCGGTTTTCTTGTGTCTGCTCAGTCTAGGAAGTGCTGGGAGTAGAGAATCCCAGACTCAAGGCCCAAACCTTTCGCGGGTGTTTGAGGACTGCCATTGTACTCAGTCTGGTTGAACTTGTCGACATCTGTTGATTTCGATGTCATAGTCTTGCTGCTGTCGGCTTCTCATATCAGAGTATCGGGCTCGAATTCTGCGCCTCTCAACTCCCTAAAGAACGCGAGTCATTCTATTGCAGGCGCAGGGCATGCTTTCTATAGTCGTGACAAATCTGGCTACAAAATCGTCACCCTCAAGCTCGAGCCTTAAACCCCACAAGCTCGAGCCTTAAAAACGGCTTCATCCCGAAGGAACCCTGAAGCTTCCCGTAGCTCCTCCTCCAACGACTGGGACCGGTTCAGGTAGTCCTCCATTGCCTGAGCACATGTGCAAATCCACATTCATACTCCCACAGCATGGACACCAAATATACGGGTGGTGCGCGCATTCTCTGCGAAGGGATACATCGAACTCATGTACTCCAAACCCGCGTGCAGGTTCAGCCGACCCCCACGGAACTGCAGATCCTGAATGGGTGGAGAAGCCCTGGTAGCTTAAACTCTAAAGTCTGTGTGGAAGTCCGCCCCGAAGCAATCTAAGGCCTGGGTTTTCCGGCGCTGCAGGCCCCAGGTGCCGTTGTCGCGGGTCTTCCTCGAGTTGCAGTCGCTTTAGGATGAAGGCCTCGTGGTGTGCTTGCTCTAGTGCCGTGGGCTCGGATTCGGGATACAGCAGTCCTCAAACTCCTTCTGCATCCCTAATATCACATTCCTGACGCTTCGAGGGAACGTGCACTGGAAGGGAAACTCCTCTCTACATTGTCCCGTGCTGAAACACCGAAGACTTGAAGCCGTGAGTGCTCTGGGTGTCTTCGACCACAACCCCCCCCACCGGAAGCCGCCTGGCCCCAACCTGACGCCTTGAAGCTTTCTACTGGCTGTCCCAAGCCTCGAATTGCCGCCGATTTGCCTTAACCATAGTCGTAAGACCTTTAAGCTCTCCCAACTCACAGAAAGCACCCAAGTGCCCCAATCTACGCTGCGCCGAGCAGCTGGCGCTTGAAAGGCATCAGTTGATTCACACCGTCTTGCCTGAGCGGCAAAGAGCGAAGACGTGCTATGACAGACTCTCAACGTTCTTGTGCTGCTGCTAGGAGTGCAGGGCACGTGATCCTGCATGAAGAAGATGCTGAGCGTGATGCTCACAGGGATGCTCGTGCTGCCGTTGTGATGGACATGACAATGAGATCAGGTTGTCGGCCGATAGATGGAGAAGAGAGTGGTGATCCTGATGATGATGACGATGTTCGGGGTCGATGTTGGCCTGATGGTGGTAGTGGAGACGATGCTGGTGCCGCTGATTTCTGGGGTGGTGGTGCTCGTTTCCGTGCTGACGACTAGAGGGATGTTGAATGCCGATGACCTTGATGGCAGCGGTACCAACAAGCCAATAAAGGCACCGGCACTGTTGATGTTGAATTGAAGATGATGCCGTGATGATGGCAGGAACGACAGAGTTGGGGAAGTGCCAGGTCGGCTAGCTTTTGTGATTTTTTTTTTAAATGTTGTCTGCGGTTAAGGCACAGCGAATTGGATTGCAGGATGTGTGGTTTCGATACAGGGTTCACGATGTCGGGGGTGTGGCGGCGGTGGTGAAAGAAAATGGTTGGAAACATGACGAAAACACCCCTCACAGGCTCTCAAGTACCACTGTTCAGGGTTTTCTGGAGGGAGCGGCCGGGCACAAGTTGTGAAAGCGATTCTTCTGATCGCGGGGAAAAGATCGTCTCGCCTATTCAGACACCTAAACCACATTATCCGGAAGGCGGGCATCCCCTGAATCCCAAGACTGACCTGCAAGCCCAAAGAGGTTAAATGATCCTGACAGGCATGCTCTCCATAGGCCTCCTACTTCCGATGGATTTGCAGCGTAGAAGCGAAATCCAGCAAATGAGCCTTTTCAGGACCACAGACTATCTCCCAAGGATCATGCCCAAACCCTGCGAAAGCCCTGCGAAACCCCAGGACCTCCAGAAGTCCTGAACCCTAAACCTCGTCCCCAAACCATAAAACCCCTCAGAACCCCTGAAGCCTCCTAAAACCTCCGAAGGCAGAATAAGCATTCGATCTGTTTCTCTCCGGGCTACGGGTTGCTGGTCTTGCTGCTCGCGCTTGGGATGTCGGACCCTTCCCTGCCACGTGGGGTTTCCTAAGGTTCGGGACTTTGGGTTGCTTTTTGCAATTTTGTGGCCTTTGAAGGCTGCGATTCTGCAGCATACTTCCTTGACGTGGAAAGTCCAGTATGTGGTACATGTACTCTCTGCAAGGCCATGGAAAGAAGCGCATTATGGCATTTGAAAGCCTTGTAGAGACCTCGGCGCAGTTTACAACTTTTGTGGAATGCAAGGCTTGTGGATCGCTCTGTGCAGATTTCTTACGACTATTGTTGCTTTGATTCGTTGTTGCTCTCGGAAGCCCGACATTTCTGAAACAACAGCTGCACATTGAAGGACTCGTGATCTCAGGACGAGAATGCGAACTAGAGCTAGCAACGGACTTACCGTCTCTGGCAAACCCAAGTCGTCCGAAGAGCCGAAGCCAGCAGCTCCATGAATGCGAAATCCCAGAGCCCAAAGCCTTGACACTCTGAACCGAAACCATGTCAAACCTGCACAACTGCTGTCATGTAACTTAAAGATGTTGGTACTGTTAAGGGTACAATGATGGGTTCTAGGTTTTATCTTCAACTTCTTCTCAATCCCAACATCTCCCTCCTTTCACTCCTGCCAACCCAAGAATCTGGTGCACTACATCTCTGTCGAACAGACACGGAACCGTGTATGTCTATGAACAAGGTGTATGCAATCTTCTGTATGTGTGCGTGCATGATCCGTGCGCACGTGTATGATGTATGCATGTATATATCTACGTGGCCCTCCGCATTTCTTGTACATACTTTTGGGGTGTTTTGGGGTGCTGGGAGGCTCCTTTTTGACTTGTAAGTCTTCGTTTAGCATCCCTGAACCATAGAACATGTCTGGAATCTCTAGAGAACCCTATAAACCCGGGTAGCCAATCCTTGTAGCACGCATATAAAAACCCTTCTAGAAGCCTCATTGACTGTCATAGACCCTTAATAACAGCTCTACCTGAACTCCCCAAACCAAAGACCATGAGCCCTAAAACCCCCAAACCCTTTCTTTGAACCCAGGCTCTCCCCCAAACCCTCAAGGCCCCAACCCCCTACCCCGTCCTACTTTATCCTAAACCCTACTAAACCCTTAAACCCATTTAAAACTAAAAAACCCCTCTAAACCCTACTAAACCCTTAAACCCATTTAAAAAGAACCCCTCTAAAGCCCTCTCTAAAGCCCTCTAAACCCAACTCGCTCAACCGGGGCGGCCGCGCCCGAGGGACCCGGAGCTGCCGAGGTTCGAAGCCATGGCCTCAGAAGGCTGCGCGGTGCCTCCGGTGCCGCCATCCTCAGGGCTTTAGAGGGCTTCTAGGGTTCTTAGGGTTTTGAGGGTTTGGGGTTTAGGGGTTGGGGTTTTAGGGTTTTAGGGTTTTACCCTGAGAGTAGGGGGTGTTATCAAAAAATGAAGACCTCTGAGGGCAATCAAAAAGAAGGGGCTCAGGGGTTTTTGTCAGGGTTCAGGCTCTAGGGTTTAGTGTTGAAGGCATTGAGGAGCTTCAGAGAGTCGGGGGTTTTATGAAGATTTTAGAGGATGGCTTTTGAGGGATGGGGATGCATGAAAGTTTCCCAGGACGTGGGAGGACTTGCAAGGCAGAAGGTGTCTGTATGGAGGCTTGCCCATGACTTTAGGTTCTGTCGGGTGTTGTTTATGGGGCTTCGGAGTCTTCGGGTACAGGGCTTAAAGGCTTAGAGATCGGTGGGTCGTTCTTGGTGGACCTACCTGAACTTCAATGGCCGTGCGTATTGGCGACAGCGATCTGGAACGTTTTTGTAGTACATTTGGGCTAAGGCGGAGATGCACCGCCTATGGTTCAGGGTTTACCGGTTCGGCGCTCACTCTCGGACATGTTCTTGGTGCCACGGTCGGAAGTGAAACCTGTCTTTCAAGCGGAGTTGTTGCTTTAGGACGGCGCACAAGAAGTGTACCAAGTTTATGGGTTTTTGGGGGTTGACGGTTTCAAGAGTTTCAAGGATTTATGGACGCTTCCCAGCCTGCGCAACACTCGGCTCCGCTGAATTCGATGACTGCTGCGACACCTCTGGCAGATTCTACTACATGAAATCATGCCGTAATGCATTAATAATAACTTTTCTTAGCATCGCGAGTATCATCGTTGCAATTATTTCTATTTGTGCTATCATTAAGGATATGATTCTACAAATGCACTCCGAACACACCCTGCGAACAAGGCTTGTTCTGAACCTTGCATCAAAAAACACACCCCCTCAAACCCTAAAGCCCCAACCCTAAAGCCCCGAAATATCCCAAACCCAACCAAGCTGAAGCCCGAAAGTCTCGAAGCCAAAACCCCAAGCCTTTTGGGGGGCTCCAACGGCAGGATGAAGGTAAACAAAATGAAAGGTATGTGGATAACGTAGGGGCCGTCATTTTTTGAACAGGGTTCTGGGGAACAACACAATACTAGAGTGGAACAAGGAACCCTACAAAAACTAGCGTGAGTGTCAAGAACTCGAATTTGGGATTCTCTCGCCCACCCTGATTCTAGCCCCTGGGGCTCGAAGCCCTGAAGCCAAAACCCTTGGGTACCTTTTGGAAGGACTCTTGTTTGGTTTTATCCTCCCTCTCTCGCCCTGGCTCGGGGGAACAGATCCCTATCATAGTCCTATACGGCCCCTTACAGTAATCCCTATGACATCCCATTCCTCGTTCCCTCCTACGAACCAGGGAGTAGAAAGGGGACCCTAAATTTAGAGACTAATTAACTTCAAAAAGGGGAACCTTAATTCAGAGAGCTACCCTAAACCCTAAACCTAAAGGGAGGGGACCCGAAATTTAGAGAACTAAGCCCCGAAAGGTCCCAGGCGTCCCAGTGGCGGTTCGCGCAAAAGCGCTCCCGGCTCCGAGACCGATGTTACGCCTCCCAGCAAGAGGTCTTTGGAAGGGTTTATTCGGGCTTTTAAGGCTTTGGGTTCAGGGTTTGGGCGTTTTCGGGGTTTCTTTTAATTACGGTTTTTTGGAGTTGGCAAGTTTTGACGAAGAGGTTTTTGGAAAGGAGTCGGCGCTCGCCATATGGGTCGTGTGTCTCATGAGTGGGTTTAGGGGAAAGGGACCAGAGTTTTGGCAGGGTCTGCTTTTCGGGTTTTGTCGGGTTGAAAGGTTGTTGCCTTTTTTTGTCAGGACTTCGTTTTGGTCTTGTAGGTGATGAATGGTTTCTGCTTCTATCAGATTGCTCTTCATGAGAGTTAGGCCTGTAGTCGGGATAAGTGACTACATCGGTCACCAATTGCATTCACGTCCTCGTAATCACATAATTATGGCTCCTGATAACTGCTCGTCGGCTCCGGCTTCAAAGCTTCCATTTCACTCCAAGCGGTCGCAAACTCTCCATAGAGGCGCAAAGGAGGTAAGGGGCTTCGGATTTCAAGTTTCAGGGTTTCGGGACTTTTCCCTCTCGCATTGCTGAGATCTATGCTCACAGGCGAGGCTTCGTTGGCGATCTAGCCATGCAGCCCACACTATGAACACCAAGTGATTGAGGATTTACGATAAGGGCTTAGGTTGCTAGAGCTTTGGAGCATAGGCTTCAACCATTTTAGGCTTTGTGGTCCATCTCCGTCTGCGCCAGGAACCTCGCACGGCCGCAATGAGCAATTAAACCGAGCTTTGAATCAGCCGTACGCCCAACAACTGCCAGAACACATATCCGATTTCCGAAAACCCCCTTCGATCCCGTAGTTACGTAGTATGAATATTAGTGACAAAATTTGCTTATGACTACTACTTCTTCACGTCAATTCTGATTTCCCGGGCCCAGCAGGCTTCGGATCTAAGTGCGTCGACGTCCGTCCCGGGGAGGAGCCATTGGAAGTCACGCTCTGACGGGGCCCCTGAGCTCCGGAGGACCTCCGCTTCGAGGGCTCTCATTGAGTCGGCTTTGTTTTCGGGATAGGGCTTTCCGATATTCTTAAAGTTTTGGTAAAGCATACGAAGACTCAGTAAGTACGGAGACCATTGACCTGAAAGCTATGCTTTTCACTGACTATGAGCCTTCCAGCAGGAGGGCGTTTAGGGGCTCTGCAGCTTTTTAGCCTCTCCCGCCACAAGGCATTGGCGAGTAGTCAAGCGCCTACGACTTGATATTGAATCCGAAATTTCAAGCCCCTAAAAACCAAAATTCCTCAACCCCGCACCAAATTTGAAACCCGAAATACTCCTGACCGCGCCTGACGACCTCTGGCCTCTCGCGCTGCTCACTCGAGCATGTGCAGCACTGGAAGGCCATGGCATCAGGTCATTCCGGAGACGTGTTCCAGTTCGCGCTTAGGGCCTACAAGCGTTACAGGCTTTGATTGGCCTTACAGACCGAATGAGAATTGCGTGCGCACTTGGGTGTAATTTTGGGCTTCAGGCTCTTGCCGTCGAAAATGTGGGGTTTAAGAGCTTAGGATGGGTTCGGGCTTAGGCGTCTCGGGTCGAAAGCCCCCGGTTGCCTAAATGCCTCAAAGGGGGCCTCTCAAATTGTGCCTTAATCAGGTCCGTGTAACTAAGGATCCTACCTTTTTAGGCTCGAGTGTTCTACCCGAAACCGAGTGTGGCCAGCATTGCCCTGACGGGTGTTAGGGGCTCTCTTTGAGCCTGCGCAGCTGAAGTGCTTCAAAGGCCTGAGGCCTCGGACAAAACAACAAGAGACAACACCGTTGAAATAGCAAAAAGGCATTCAGACGCTACGGTGCCAATAGAGAGTGCCTGCCCTCCGCGTGACTCGCCCTGCCATGGACTGTTCCGGCTACCAGCAAACAAAGTCCCATGACCCTCAGGTCTACTTCAGCTGAAAGCCCCGCTTCTGCATTCTAAACGCTGCAACAACACAACCAACACACGCAAACCTGCCATGTTGATGGTGATACACCATCACCACCGCCACGGCAACGGGTACATACAACGACATAGAATACATCTGAGATGGAGGCAGCTAGCGGATTGGCAGAACTGCGCTAGAGCTAGACCCGGAACACCAAACACCTAAACTAAACAGATCAGCCACGCATCCCACTCACCAGAGACTGCAACAAGACATGAACCGTTTCGCCGTGGTGGTTTAGGTTCCGCAGCCCTTAGGATATACTTTCCTGGCCACTAAAGTCGGTACTAGAGGTAAAGGACGACTTGTACTGTCGGTTGGCCTTGTCATTGCCCAAGCGCGCTGAAGAGGGATTCTGCCCTAGCTATAGCCCGTGCTCCTTCAAATCCAAAATCCCTAAAGTTCCCAAAAGCCCTGAATCCGAAAGCCCGGGCTTTCGGAGGCCACCTGGAGCTCCTCTGGTGGGGGCAGCATTTCTGCCAAGGAGTCCAGGAGCCTGCAAGTGGGCTTGCGGCTTGCGGTTTTTGGGGGTTTCGGTGGCCCACAACGGTCTTAGAAGCAATCCATACAGGCCGTACATGGTCGGGGGTTATTTGAAGGATTTGGGGGGTGGCAGGCGGTTTAACAAGTCTCCTGACCCTTCAACTGCTGGTGCGATGTCGGGAGCACATCAGATCGACAACCGGCTTGGAAGCCAAGCCTTCTGTACTTTCGGACTCGGACTCCTAGGCATGCTTCTAGGAATCCCGATTGACCTCTGCCACTATACTCTACTCTTCGTAGCCGCAGATGACGATGGCACTTCACTTTGCATGAGCCGGGCTCCATTGCCGACCAGACGCCCGCCCTCGAGGTCGAACAGGAACTGCGTATCGACCTCGGAGCTCCGTGACTGTTCAAACTTGCACTCGGACACATGGTGCTTGGCGAGCCCGAAACACCATCGCACTGACCCCAGCCCAGACTTGTGAACGTCCCCTACCCGAAGACCTGACCATAGGTCCGGGGGCTGAGAGCAGGCCCGATTAGTAAAGACCTCCCGGTTTCCCGGTTCTGTTGCAAATCACATGAGAGAAAATGTAGTGGAATTCGAGTCTCTGCCCACACCGGGAAGGGGCTCTGACACGTGGGTCCCGCCAGGAAGAGTGTCCCTGAGAGTGCGCGAAGTAGGGCCGGCCGTCGGGACCTTGGCCGAAGGTGCAGCTGCGTTTCCTTTTTATGAATGAATGGCTTCTCATCTTTTGATGCGGGGGCTTTAGGGCTTCTGGAATGAGGGGCTGGACGGAGGAATTGGCAGGCGAGTTGCGGGGATTTAAGGGTATGGCTTGGTGGCCTGCTGGCCAACAAAGAACAGTGATCGATGCTAACTCTTGAGGCTTTGATGCGGGAGCGTGCGGCAGTGGTGCGGAGTCCATGCGCCTACGTAATACTTGCTGGACACTGTGACACGCTATTCTAATCATGAAGGCGCCCACATCAAGCCCACAAGAACCCAACCAATCCAACGAGGCCCTCGACGAAGAAAGCAACGCCCCGAAACCCAAGCCAGCACCCGATCCCAGACCTCAAAGACCAGACCAAGGGCGCGGTAGGCTTCGGCGCAGAACGAAAGGTAAGATGGAGAGCAGCCCCACGCCCAGAGCAACAAGAGACGCCCAGGACCCTCAAGCCCTTATTGTAGCCCTGATAGTAGAGCAGCCCTGAGGTGTAGTGACCCGTTGAGCGCAATTTCTTTGTAGTAAACCCTTTAGCCCTGAGCTGGGATGCCGACTGTCAAGAGGCCCATACCAACAGTCCA